TGTGTGTGTGTGTGTGGAGTGAGTTAATAAGGAAGACCCACAGTGAGTGCAGCAGGTTGTATAATAGGTCCTAGACATTTTGTTGGTGCAGTGCAGGTGAGAAAGTGCTGTTCCCGATTTTTACTGGCACCTTGATGTTGGGCCTCCGGAGGCACAGGTTGGGACATTATGTGCCGGAACACCACTCCCCTGAATGATCATGTTAGGTCTGGGCTGAACATGTGATTTCATTTTGAGATGGTCCCTTATCTTCAAAACATTGGTGCTGGTGTGTTTGTGTTTTGGAAATGCCCTGTAGCAAAATCTGGCTCCTGCTCACTTATTACAGGTTGTTCTGGTAGCTGCTAAGATTCATGATTTTAGTAATGAGAAGAAAAAAACTTAAGGTGCAAAACTTTAACAGAGGAGTTGAAAGTCTATAAAATGTTGTATTGGCAGAAATGGAACATAATATTCAGAGGTACGTTTTCATAAGTGTATGATCACCTGAATACAGTAGCCAAGAAGGGACAAACCAGACACTGGCACTAGATAGGGATGTTCACGTAGTAGTTTTTGTCTTATCACTTGGGAGGGGAGGGTGAAGCAAGTGAGTTGTAGTCTGCAAATACATTGTTGGATGCTACTAAATCCTACATACTGGACTTTTTAGATTTTCTACCGTACACTTCACTTCATCATTCCTCAGTGAACAGTGATTCAACGCAATTTTTTATTCTGCAGTGCTGGATCAAATATTATATCTAACATGAAATGTCTAACTCATTATAATGAACCCACAGAGAATCATCCACTCTGCATTGTCCCTCAGCTTTAGGGAGTGTTTTAACATCTTCAGACTCATAGTTTTAGATGTACTGCAACGTCTTGGTTCAGTCTTTCAAGGCAATCTGCAGGCAACTGTTGCTCTCTAAAAAAACGTTACCAAAATTGTATTTTGAACTATACAAAATATTACATTTTAAATTTAATTTAGAATAACAGTTGCAAAATGCTCACATAAATTGTATCTGACTTAAATTAACTTTCTGTATGTGTAATTTATCTGACCATCTTAATTCCCACTACATGTTCAGAATTAGACATTGTCTTCCTGGCTCTGCAGCTCTTTCCCATTACTGTCTTGTTTATTGTTGATGTTTTCCACTTTGCCTGGAAATGAACTTGGCAAGTGACATGATACAGTAGCTAACTAACAAGCTGCCAGGAATTCCTGTGTTAGCCACTGTTTACTTGTTCCAGACACCTGTTGTCCAGAGCTGGAAATATTTGGATTCATGGGAGCTGCATCAGAACTGTGGTTGCTGCTAACCTCTTTTAGCTTTCTCTTTAGCCACTGGAGTCATTGTGTGGATCACACCCAATTAGGCCTCAGTCCAGTTACATTCCTGTCTGAGCTGTTGTGGCCACCTGATTTCCAGCCACCAGTCTCTGTAGTCTCACATTACCAGACAATGAGCCATAAACTACTGGACTGTGTTTTATTATAAAGCTTTACATACAGTAGGTTGCATGGGATTTTGAAGTGCTGATCCACAAGGATTTTCATTCACTTCCATATTTTAGTTTTATATAACCCTCCCATATGTGACATTGGATTTTATGATAATCTAGGAAACACTGCTCGAAGTTATCCCTCATAAAAACAGAGCTGACGATTTTTGGTGATTTTAATATAAACTGGTTAGAAAAGAAACACATCTGAATTTGAATTCAGTCAGGTCCACTCGAATCACCAGATCAACTCAGTCTCAAGTTGATTTGATATTTTCTAACCGTGAACGCATTGTGACTCATAATGGCACTGTCGGATCACAATTTGACTTTAGCAGCCAGGAAACTGACGATTAATCGAAATTAAATCGAAAATTTCGCTTTCCTAAATCAGATAAACTTGTAATACCAAAACAGAAACTTGAAGCCATAACATTTAACATTTTCACATTAAAATGAATATAAATACTAGCCATATCTCATATATATATTTACAATATCCCATATTTACAATATCAACAATGTTGAAACCCAGAGAAATCTGTATGTTTATCAGAATAAGTGTGGCACCTTCGTGTCTGGCGAAAAGCAGCATTGAAAGAAGACGCTGTTTTTTTAAGAGGAGACCTCTGCGGATAATTGTGTTCCCGGTAGAAACTGACTGCTATGATGGCAATGGTGGAAAAGACACTACTTCATGACATGACCAAACTTTGTAATTTGTAATTGTTTTGATCTGAGAAACCCACTAATTTTCACTTGTTGTCGAGGGTGCTGCTATTTATTATATAAATTGGCAAATTTATCACAGTAAGCTTTAATCTCGTTTAACATTTTCTTGGTTGTAGTCAGTTACAGTGGAAAGGGCTAGGAAAATACTGCCTTTTGCTAAAAGGATGGGTGATCCCATAGTTCAATAAGAGAAACAAACGGCCAATTAAAGGAAATAGTTTTCCCCTGATCCCCATACTGTGACTGCTGGTCTTGAGCAGGCTGTCATGTTTGTATTGGGAAATGGGAAAGCTACAGGTGTTTGAACAGCAGGCTAATAAATTCTAGTTGTATGGTGCAGCATACTCACCTGTTTCTTGGTAGTGATAGAAGTTAAACACATTGTCAACAAGTTAAATAGCAGAGTGTACATCTTGAAGAGAACAGTCCATGACATTCTGTGTGTGCAGGCAGGATGTTTCACTACTGTCACTACTGCTGCTTTCTGGAAAAAACTGACCATCATCTTCTGTGGAGTGAATGAGTGAGTCAGTGAGATATTCTGTGGGTTTTTTTCTGTATGCATATCTCCAAATGCACACATCGAACTGTATACTATAAGAGAGACTTGTCAAACATCTGTGTGTTTAATATAGCAGTAAGTGCAGTCTGAAGTCATGCTGGGATTTGCTGGGAAGCTGCTCTGGGAACAAGCTGACCGATTCATACCCCCCCCCCCCCCNNCCC